GGTGGATGATATTCTAATTATTTTATTCGGGTACACAATATTATTATATGCTCATTGTATTAGATAATCTCTTTATTATTTATTATTAAATAAAATAAATTAAACATTAAATCTTCTATTCAATGGAATTATTGAAACATAATTTTTCTTATTCTTATTCCCCACCTGATAGTCTATCTTAATGGCTCGACCATATATTCTATGCACTGCAATAATTGAATCTATACCTTCCTCATAGTATTCTTCTCTCCACAACTCTGTATTTAATACTTCGGGTGTCATAAATTTATGCTTAAATCGAATACTAGAGGAAGACACATTTTTGTACCATTTGACGTAGGCTAAAAGATGTGTTCTTGGTCCATTTGAAAGGGTAAGTGTATATTCAAAGTAATATTGTACCTCTCCAGGATAAATATCACTTGTCCCATCTCTAAAGACCTCCCATTTTGCTAAGATTACTGCATTATTTTCATATCGGCCTGCGATTTTGAACCCAAATATTTTATTCCCTATTATTAACCTTGCATTTTGGTTCATAATTACTTCCATACATACCTTCACATCTTTCTTTTTTAAATTATATAATGTTGCATACCACCTACATAATCTTTTTTGAATTTCTACTGGAATACTTACCTTTTTATATGTAGGTGCTAGCATACGTCCTGGTATATATTCAGTACTATAGATCTTATTGGACATATCATGTCTCAAGAAGATGAAATACTGTAACTCTTCTCTATCAAATTCATTAGTTACAGCTAAGCTACCAGCAGCTTTCTTCGGTACAAGAAATTAAAGAGACTTCTCCAAAAAACTAGATGTTCATTAATAGGAAAGATAATAATCTACAAGCAAATTTTTGAGGACTATTTTCATAAGTTCAGGTTTGATCTGCTGATTACTATTGAGATAAGAACCTATGAAAGATTTGTGTTAAAATTTTATTTACTATAATTCATATACCCGATATCTATAACTTACCTATATATCCATTTAATCGCTCATATGGGAATAGCCAAAAGCTATAAATGGATATTACTTGTAATGAATTCAGGTCCATAAGTTCTTTCTATATTTATGGACATATCCTTTAATCGTTCTTGTGCTTTTTGCAGATCGTTTTCTGTAACAAATCTAGTAACCAATAAGTTACATGCCCAAACAAAATGTCCCAAAATCTTTCTATCATTATCATCTAACATGTCCCATAGAATTGTTGTTGTATAAATCATAATGAAGGTCTTCCATTGATCAGTGGTGAGCTTTGAAAATCTTTCTCCAATAGCGATTTTTGGAGGGATTCGACCAATATCAGATGGAAGTTGAACATTATTCATCCTCCTTTGTGCTATACGAAGTTACTCAGAATTTAATTTATTCTCTTTAATAAATATGGATTGAATAATCCATTTTGCAACCCCAAGGAACAAGCAGTGCATGGGATCCACTACCGTGAATCTAATTGGATCCATGTAAGGGAGACGAAGTAATTCAGACCATCGTACTCCGTGCTCTTTGAAATGAGCTTCCCTTGTTCCTCTGGTGATATATCTAAGCCATTCTTGAGCATATTGTTTATGTTCTTGGAGGTCCGCAGATTCTCTAATCTATTGTTCATAATCTTCCATGCCACCATAATGAGTTTTTTGAAACTTTTCACTATATCAGCTTCTTTTCGGACACCTGTGGCATTTCATTACTGCAGATCTATGTCCAAATAACTTTCTTGTAGCCGGAATATCGGAAGAACCTACAATTATCGCAACTCTTATATTGAGCCCATCCTTATTTTCATATGTTTTGGGAACTCTCCATCCCTCCCATAATTCCTTAAGGTCATCAACTATCGGTGATAGATAATGATTAATTTGATTCTTATTGGCTTCCTTAGGTTCTGGGAGAAAGCCCAAATAAATTATATTTTCGGGCTTATTTCTTTCGGCCCTAGGGAGATTGCATATCGAAGCATAAATAGCACCAGTGCTATGTTGTGTATACTTGAAAGGTTGGAACCAGTCTAAATTTATTAATAATCCTAAATTCGAGGTGGCAGTTTCCGGACTAAAAAATTTGTTACCATCGAAAGGAAATGAATTTCAAACTCTCCCATCATATATATCAACATAGATATTGCTGTCATAATTTCTTGTACCCGATTGATCAAGCATTTTTTCAAAACCTGACCTCTGGTACATGATGCTTAATTGTTGTTTAATTGAAGGTTTAGGATATAACATTCGTGGAATAACTATCATATTTTTCATATTTCTTTTGAGAGAGGAGAGTTCATTATCACATAAATTCTTGCGGGAAAGTACAGGATTATTAGGATATTCTTCATAATTGCAATGCATAATTGCCAACTTATTATTTTCTTTATGATTACATACAATCTTAGAATCATATAATTTATGACAGTTTGTACAAACTGCCATCCTTAATTTTGGTTGAAAAATTCCTAATTTCTTTTTTGCTATAAATAAAAAAGCAGGAAATTCACAAAACTTAGAATCATCAATCATCATAAGCATATTGTTTAAAAACTTAATTAAGGCCTCCAGGACTATATCAGGTATCCGGTACCTTTGTTGAAACTTAAATAACTACAAAAGTATCTCTACATCTAATTTATCTTCTAATTCTGTTCTTTAATAGCCTTCATTGTCACATTCTAGCTCAGGTGCAGCAAATAAGTTATCATCATCTTCAGGTGTTTCATTATCTATATCTATATACTCTACTTGATCATCATCACCTTCTTCTTGGTCATCAATCAATTCATCATCATCGTGTTGTTCTTCTAAGTCATCAATTAATTCATAATTTTCTTCATCTCCTATATCAAACAAAAGTTCATCATCATACATATCGGGCGTCTCTTCTATATTAGGTTCATGAAATTGATCATTTCTTGATCGAGATGATGATGCAACTCCAAGACCTAATCCTGTAAGCATGTCACTTACAGATATGTCCCTATTTAACTTTGGAACATTAGTTGTATCCTCAACCGGAGATAACTGTTGGGAACTTATTTTTCTTTTCTTACTACTCTTATTTAATGTATTTTCGTTCACTTAATTAAAATATTATAAATATTATACAAGTTAAAAATTTGATATATCGGGCTCCCGATATGGTCACTTACGTATCCGATATGATTATTTATGATCACGATGTGCATGAAGTTATTTCAACAATTAACTTACCTTCACAATTAAACTTTCTTGCTTCGATTATAGCTAATTGAATTTTTCTTTCTTTATTAGATTTCCACATAATTTTCTCATTAGCATGCTTTTTCTGGATCTGTTCATCAATTTCTTTTCCTTCACAGTCAGTACAATTACAGATATATTTATATTTTTTTTTAGGATTTACCAAATCAAATAAAAGAAATTCCGCTCGGGCAGTCAATTTTTGAGTTTTGTTTTTCAAATTAGTCATTTTATTCAAAAGATAATTAAAAGATATATTAGTCAAAGTTTAATAAATTTATTTTCAAAAAAAATGTTCCTAAAATATTCACATAGTCAAATATTTGCTTTCTTTATAATGCGCAAAAATTATTTACATAATTTTTAGAGATGATACGTATTCACGTCTCAAAATTAGAAAAATTTTATTTAGTTAATACATTTTTTATAAAATATATATAGTAATAATTTATTTAATATGAATAGTAAGTAATTTATATTATTACATTAAATTTAATATGTGATCAGCAAAGCAAGACTCTTCCCATTTATCAATTTTTGAACAAAAAACTGCAGTAAAATTTAAAAACGAAAGAGTCTTAGTTTTATTTTAACTTGAGTAATAGTCAACCGTGTTAACTTAACATGGGCGATAAACCCTTTGAAAGACCCAGGAGAACTGGTGTTAATTACACCAGGATTCTTAATATTAATCCGTTACTAAATAAAAACAAATTTAAATTCAATCCTATCAACAAGAAAGAAAAATTTTTAAATAAAAAACTCGATGCAGAAAATACAGCAGTAAACGTAAAACAAACAGTAGAAACATTGAAGAGTAAACCAATCCCTAAAGTTACAATTTTATTGAAAGATGATAACAATGATTCGAACCAAGATCAAACTACTGAAGAAATGACAAAAGTGGAAGAAAATGGAGAAAACGAAGAATTAAATGAAAACCAAGAAAACAATAATACAACTGGTTGGACGAAAGTAGTAAAGAATAAAAATAAAGGAAAAGGTAAAGAAAAAGAACTATATAACGACGACGACACAAATGAACAAGAAGAAATAGAATCAATCGCATCCTTTGAAACTGAAAATAATTATCAAACTGGATGGCGCAACTCTTTAGGTGCGAAAAAATACAAACTTTGGATCATAGCTGATAAAATTTTGGGAAAAAATCTAAATGAAAAATTGGAGAATGTTAGTTTAACCCTGAAAAAACAGTCTGTAGTAATCAAAATACAAACAGAATCATTCAACAATAGGAAAATGATTGCAGCGTATTACGACAATGAAGAAGAAATGAAAAAGGGAAAAATATGCGATGTAGGCGAATATGCAAATAAGCCAACTTACATGCATAGGGCTGAAATTTTTAAACGTAATCCAGACAAAGAAATGCAACACGGCGTCAAACTGTGGGACGTACCCTTAGGATTTAGAAATAAAGATATTAAACAAGAACTGGAATTGAAATTTGGAGAAATTACAAGAATTTCTTTAAGAGTAAATAACATGTGGCAATCAGCTGTTATTATTTTTAAAGAAAAAAGTAGTGCACAAAAGCTACTTGCTAATTGGAGCATCATTATTGGAGAAGATTCTCTTAGAGTAACACATTTAGATCAAACAATTGATAATCTCAAATCACGTGGTCAATATGCAGCAAGGGTAATCGGTTTGCCCAATGGTATTACAGCAAGAGAATTGTGGCCACACATCGAAAAATTGGGAGCAAAAACTTGTTACTTTCCAAGAACACGAAACTACAGGAAGAAAGGCGAAGCTATTATCTCCTTTCAAGAGGAAGAAGCTCGTGAGAATGCTTGTAACGCAGTATGGGAAGGTGGTGATCTCAATATTAGAATTGTAAACATCCAAACAAAAACATGCCACCGTTGTCATGAAACGGATCACTTTGTCGCTAATTGCCCTCATAGAATTCAGGACCACGAATACAAAAATAAAGCAGCAGAGAGAATAGAAAAATTTGGTGCAATTTATAAACGATACAACCCAAGATATTTTAAAAATATTAATAAATTGGTTGGAGGACAAACATATGTGGATGTAATCAAAAATAATAATAATAATAATAATATAAGAAAAGCGAACTTAGATACTACAAGTGACCAAAGATTAGAAAGAATCGAACAAGTATTGAATAAACTTTGTGAATGTTTAGAAATCCTAGAACACCACGTGATGAATACAACAGAAGAACAGATTCAAGATTGGACATCTGAGCAGGAGGAGGATGAGGAAATGATAGATGAAGAAGTTACAGAAAATAATAATGATGCTAATAATAACGATAAATCAAAATTAAATAAAAAACATGAAACAAATAACAAGTTAGATATAATTATCCTCACAATGCAACAAATGACAAATAGAATTGAAACAATTGAAACGAGAGTAGGATCGACATCGACCTTCTCTGGAACAAAAACTTCTGAAAGCAATATTGGTATATATAACCAACAATAACTTTTAACTTTAAATTTTAATAAATTATGATGGAATTAAACAGTAATAATAATAATGTCAATAATAAAAAAAACAATAATCAACATAAAAGAACAAATAACCGCTATAATAATTTAAAGGGAGACAACAATAATAACAACTTTAGCAATCAGAATAACTATATAGAGAATAAAATAATAAGCGTAACCACGCACAATGTAAGGGGATTCGGAGATTATATTAAACGTGAACTTTTATATAATTATATTAAAAACAGTAAGATAGATATCATGGGTATCGCAGAAACAAATTGTAAAGAAAATAATGAAAAGTGGTTTATAGATGAAGGAAAAAAGTATAGAATACATTGGTCTTCTGATGGTATAGGTACAGGAGTAGCAATAATAATTTCTAAAGAAATAAATAAATACATATATAACATTCAAAAATTCCAAGGGAGAGCAATAAGAGTGGACATGGCACTACCAAAAAAAACCACAGTACGGATAATACAAATATATTTATCAAGTAAAAAATGTGAAAATAAAGAAGTAATGGAAAAAATAAAAAACTGGGTTATACAAGCACAACAAAAAAACTACAAATTAATTGTAATGGGAGACTTCAACGCAGTCCCGTCACCAAACATAGACAGAAACAATAATAGCCAATCGCAGATTCCAGAGAGTGAAATTTTTTCTTTTTTTGACCAGCAGAGAACTTATCGACTGTTACAGAACAATGCACCCTGAATCTAGTGGCTTCACATGGCAAAGAGATAATTCAACTGCTGAAAGTCACATCGATGCAATATGGATGTCAGAAAAATGGGGAGGAAAAATGGAATCGTGTTATGTTGATAATTTAAATTTAATAACAGAAAGCGATCATAAGCTGGTAGACCTCAAAATTAGAAGAAACTGGCAAATTCGTGAAAGGAAAAATAATATTATAAATAATAGCCCTAGATATAATACTAAAGTAATGTGCGAAGAAAAATGGTTAAAATTTACGAAATACGTAGAGGAAAAAATCAATAACTCAATAATAGAAGAAAGGGAAAGGAAATATGGGGTGTCAATAAATTCCATGGAGAAAACATGGAAAACTCTTAAAAACATTATGATCGAGGGAGCTGACCATGCAATACCAAAAAAACGGGAAAAAAAGCATAATAAAAAAATAAACAGAAATGTCGCGGAGAATATGAAAAAAGCAAAAAGTCTCAATAAAATCTATCGCTTTGTCAAAAAAGAAAAAGCCAAATCTCTGTTATATATTAAAAATCACGTGATTTTCAAAAGAGAAACACATAAATTATCCATACTTAATTTTAAAATAAAAAAAATTATAGAGAAGAACGACACGCGTGAAGACTTAATCGAAGCTCTCAGAATTGCAAGTCTTGATTTTCAAAGTGTTGCAAGGGCAGAAAAAAAGAAAGAAACATTAAAACAAATACAAGAAGCAGTCGAACGACGATGGGAAAATCTTAAAGAAAATCCAAAAAGAATGATTAATAGTATCCTAGATAGACAACGTAAATCGATTATTATGGACCGCATAATTAACGAAAATGAGGAGGGAAATATCGAAATTATAACAGATAGTATAGAAATTAAGGAAGCAGTAAAAAACTACTTCTGTAGTTGAACTAGAAAACGTAACACGAACGGAAACTTCATGGAAAAATGGAAAACAACATATAACCCAAGAGATAAGATTGAAGAAGAATGGTATCTCCCATTGTTAAGAGAAATAAACACAGAAGAATTGAAACAAACTATTAACACACTACCAAATAACAAAGCGCCAGGGCAATCCAACCTGCAGTATGAGTGGCTCAAACACCTTCCATTAAATGGGATTGAAACTTTGAGGAATATAATCAATATGTCAATCAAACTAAATGACATTTCAAGAGATTGGAAACTAGGATATATATATCCCATACCTAAAACTAATGACTGGGGAAATAACCTTAATATAACAAGGCCAATTACATTCCTTGAAGCAGGACGAAAAATATTTATGAAGATCTTAAACAACAGATTATCAACTATTTTTAATAATAATAAAATCCTATCAAAATATAATTATGCTAGTTTACCAGGGGATGATACGCAAAAACCTATTCACGTGATAAATAATATAATGGAGGATGCCAGGGCAAATAATAGAGAACTTTGGATTATGTTCCAGGACATGAGCAAAGCTTTCGACTCAGTTAACTCTAATTACCTATTGCGAGCATTACATAGAATCAAAATTCCTGTTGGTTTCATCAATATTTTTGAAAAATTGACACATAACAGAGAAAACATAGTATTAACTACACATGGTAACACTGAACCATATAAAGTTGGAGATGGAATAGATCAAGGGGACATAATATCACCACTTCTGTGGAGAATCTTCTATGACCCGTTAATTAGTAAAATTGCAGAGTCCAGAGTTGGTTATACAATGAAAGAGAATTGGATCAGCAATTTACGCTTGGGTACACAAAGTAACTTAGCATTAAAAATGTCAGTGGCAGCATACGTAGATGATACAAACTGGTTCGCATCATCTAGAGAACAAATGGAACAAATTCT